GACCCCTTCAGCAGCCTCGCCTTAACCAATGTTTCTGATCCAGAGTGTCCTGATTTGAGCTAAGTGCAGGAAGGTACTCATTCATGTGTGAAACAGGGATGGGCCACGTAGCCTTCAAATTACATCACGATATTTCAAGAAAGTTTTCCGTAACAAGATTTCTGAAACGTAGAAAAGAATTTTTTTTTTTGCTCCGCTTGCAGCTTGCAGGCAGCAGCAATCACAAGTGGAAGTAAATGATAGATATTTCCCACTGAGCTGTCACTGATGACACACTTCCTAATCTGAAGTGTGAATTTATTAAAAGAAGGTGCCGATAGCATCCGCAGCAGTAATATGGTGCAACGGTAGTGACACAGCCTAAGTTAAATGTAAGCACAAAAGCAGCCTGTGATGCTGATCCCCTACAACCCATCCAGAATTCGGGCTCCCACAGAATGTCTTCTGTATGCCACACAGCCAATCAATTACAGATGCTCCTGGCATCAAGAAGCCACATCTAAAGGTCAGACTAAGGTTTGCCATTGAACATCTAAATTATTCAGAGAAGGTTTAGGAGAAAGTGGTGTGGTCGTCAACTCGGCCTGCTGTGTTTGGAGGAAGAAAGATGTTGTGAAGAAAGATGAAGAAAAATGTTGTGTATGAAGCAAAGAACACCATCCCCACAGTCAGGCACAGAGGTGGAAACATTATGCTTGGGGATGTTTTTCTGCCAAGGGTACAGGACAACTTCACTTCATTGATGGTCCAATGAACAAGGCCATGTACTGTAAAATCATGGAAAAGAACCACCTTCCCTCAACCAGGACACTGAAGATGAGTCGTGGGTGGGTCTTCCAGCATGACAATGACCCAAAACATTCTGTCAAGGCAACAAAGGAGGGGCTAAAGACGCATATTAAGGTCATGGAGTGGCCTAGCCAGACTCCCCCACTGTCAAGTCCTGCTTTCCACCATGTAACTACTTCAGTTTGTTTCACAACACCACTTGCTCTTCCTGTCTTAACTAGTGATCACTCCAGCAGTGCTGTAAATGGTTTTCCATTTGGGTGGTACATCACCAGCTGCTAATATCTCCTTTGTAGCCTCGTAGTACATATCGACTATGTTTTTGCCTCAAGTGGTGAAACACGTTTG